CTCCGCGATAGTGACTATATGCAGCTGAGCTTAAGTTAAAGTTTCTCAATAAATTCGTTTTGACTTCCTGAGCGAGCATGGCGACACGGCTATATGCACATGAGGGGACATAGTCACTGCTAATTGGTTATCTGTGTGTTGTTAGAGATAATATCTTTTCTCAATGATGCAACTGCAAGAACACAAGCGTCATCTACTGCTTTAGCAGTACAAACTGATGCCACCACCACCACACGACAGCCACTAACATATCCTAATATTATTCAAAGTTTCCTTCTTATCTGGCTAGACTCAAATATTGACGAATCAAACGACAATTATCGTAAGTCAATTGCTCAACTACGACGCATTGTCAACACCATCAATACATTCCGCAATGCTGATGAATGCATAGACTTTCTTACTAAAATCAAACGCGATAAGGTATTCATGATTATCTCCAGTACTCTCGGTCAAAATATAGTACCTCTCATTCATGACGTGCCTCTGCTTGACTCAATCTATGTAGTTGGTGAAGAAAAAGGTATTCATGAAGAATGGATGACAGACTGGTCAAAACTGAAAGGTGTTTTCACAGAACTCGCTCCCATATGTGAATCACTTCAGCAAGTCGCGCAACAGTGTGATCAAAATTCTATTCTGATGAGTATTGTTCCTCCTGGCGACACGTCAAATCGAAATCTGGACCAACTCGATCAATCATTCATGTATACACAGTTATTCAAAGAAATTCTACTAGAAATTGAATTCAATGGTCAATCCATCAAAGAGTTGGCTACATATTGTCGTAGTCATTACGTGTCCAACACGGTCATGCTAAAAATTATCGATACGTTTGAACATGAGTATAACAATCATTCGCCCATATGGTGGTACACTTATGCGAGTTTCATCTACCCTATGCTTAACCGAGCTCTTCGCACTTTAGAAGTTGATGTACTCATGAAAATGGGCGTTTTCGTTAAAGCTCTTCATTTACACATTGAACGGCTATATTCGGAACAATCGGGTTGCAGTCAGCAAGGGTCATTTACAATCTATCGCGGTCAGGGCATGTCAAATGTCGAATTCGAGAAGCTAAAGAAAAGCGAAGGTGGCCTTCTCTCGTTTAACAACTTTTTATCTACGAGTATCGATCGAGACGTATCTTCTTCTTATGCCGAAAGCAATAGCACCAATCCAGATTTGACAGGAGTTTTCTTTCAAATGAATATTGACGCATCAAACTCATCTACTCCTTTTGCCCTTCTTGACGGCGTCAGCTATTATAAATCAGAGAAGGAATTTCTATTCTCAATGCACACTGTTTTTCGAATCGTCAAAATCAAACAAATCGATGGCAACAGTAGACTATGGAAGGTGAAACTCACACTGACGCGTGACGACGACCAGC